AATAGCAGGACAGACCGGGTTCTATAGCCTTGGATGGCAACTGTTCTACCACAGAAAGAAATGGCAACCTACTGCGGGGGAAAAATCTGCCTCGTCGAAAGATACATGATCGCCTACGCGTGTATCACGCATGGCACGCAACTGACTGACTGAAACTAATAATGTTTACATATATTGCTGAACTGCGTAGTATTGGTGCGTTAAAGCGAACAACGAGAGAGGTTTGTTAAATAATATATATTTTTTAATTGATTGAATCGTTTTCTACGGTTTATCAACCCTTTGCAGGTTATTTAAAGCCAGACAATATATTTTTAGATTATAAGATTTTTTTAGTCATAACAATGATTAATTGATACAAGTCTTACTAATTAACCCATAGCTGGTGGGGAAAAGAGGTGGATTCATATCTTTCCCAAGTATAAATGCGCCAAAGTGAATTTAACGAACCGAACTGAAATTGCAACTCAGCTCTCCGATTTCCAATTCCGAGCCGTTATCCATTACACCACCCGCACATCCAAGCTTACAGCACCTGGTATTCCCAAGCGGTCACCCGTCTCGTTACTGACCAGGCTCGACGTTGCTTAATTTCGGCGATCGAACGAGAACCGATGTTTCAAGGTGATGTGACCGTAAGCATTGAGGCACGAAATAGAAGTTTAAAAAAAACAAACAAAAAAACAAAAATAAGGACATTTCTATAATTATAGCAAAAAAAAACTCCTCTTAGAGGATGAGTTATCTTCCACCCTACATCCACTTTCCCACAGTCGCAACGTTGAAAGCTTATCGGTACTCTATCGCTATGTCCATAGCAAATGCTCAGACGCGCTCCGCTCTTGACTTCTATCAGTTGAGATCTTTACAACCTAGGACACGCTATTCTACGTCCACATAGTCGAATGACCATGCAAGTAGAGGGCTTAAATCCGGGTATTCGTATTCGCTGGATGGCATCAAAATTAAGCGCGCTGCCAGGCAACGTTAGTTGTTGTAGAAATCAGCTTCAGAGCAATCTGTTTACTACCATTCGCTGACCTGACATGTAAACTCTACCACAAAATACCAACAAATTCCGACTGGTATTATTTGGAAGTATTTCTAATTTCTTGTCGGTAGGCCTTTACATTTTTTTTACCTTTTTGTCAATGATCAAATCATTAAACTTATAATAAAAACTTTTCTTTCTTTAATATAAAACTTGGTTGATCTTTTGTCGTTCCCTTTATTTCTCTTTATCTTATTTCTTTTGTCGCACTTGTAACATATTCACTTAAGCTGTTTCTTTTGTTGGCAGTCTTCAAGCGACTTAAATCCTGTTATTTGGTTAAGTTCTTTGATTGTGATTCTTTCGCTCCAGTCCACGAGATATGATTAAGTATGATCCACTAAGACATACAAGATTCATTCGTTCGAAATAGTACATATTTATCTAATATATACAATGTTTAATATTAATTAATCAATATTATTATGTTATTATTTTCTCTTCGAGTTACATGTGCTATGTATTAAGAGAATCTATTTTTATGAATGACACTTGGGTCAGTTGGTGTCTTTCATCCGGGTATTTTTTGGTTGGCGCCAAAATTAAACAAGTTGGCCGACAAAGTTAATTGTTGTAGAAATCTGCTTCAGAGCAGTGTGTTTACTATCATTCACTGACCTGACATGTAAACTATACCACAAAAACCCAGCAAATCCAGACTGAAATTATTTTGAGGTATTTCTTACTTCTTGTCGGTAAGCCTTTATGTTTTTCTTTTACTTTTTAGCCACTTAGCAAATCACTAAAATTATAATACCCCCCCTTTTTTTGTTTACTATAAAACTTAGTTGGATATATGTCGTTATTTCCCTTTATCTTATTTCTTTTCTCTCACACATGACACTATTCTCCATATCATCGTAATCTTCACTTTTTACATTCATATCACACACGTCTACCGTGAGTGGCTCTTAAGCCTTGTACTGGATGAACATTAGCAACCTCCCCCCGCAAAAAAAAACAAACAGACTTTTCCTGAGAACTGTGTTAATCTATGGATGCCTCCCGCGTAGATTCTTCCCTGAATATTACAATTTCAAATTTTCCAAATCAATGGTCAAAGTGGTTACCTATTATTAAGAGAATCTATTTTTATGAATGAAACTTCTCCGAGTTCTGAGTCATTTAGATTAAAAAATAACTTCGAAGAACTCTTTAATGTGGTCGGCTGACCATAAAAAAGTGGTGTTAAATCCGGGTATTCGTTGGATGGCGCCAAAATGAAGTGAGTTGCCTGGCAAAGTTAGTTGTTGTGGGAAACTGCTTCAGGGCAGTTCATTTACTACCATTCGCATATCTGAGCTATAGAACCCGGCCTGTTCTGTTATTCACCCATAGCGGTGGGGGAGAGGATTAATACTTTTCCAAAAGTGTATTAGCACGTAAATGAATGCAATGGATTCGACTGGATTTCGATTCCTCAATTCGAGCAGCTATCCATTTCTCCACGGTACCTCCGTTAGTTTTCTTTATCTTATTTCTTTTGTCGCACACACGACACTATCCTCCATATCATCGTAATCTTCGCATCTTATATTCATATCACTCAGGTCTTTCAGTAATCCTCTACCTTGAGTGGCTCTTAAGCCTTCTATTGGATGGACAATAGTAAAAAAAAAAAAACTGGCTGATAAAGGCATGAAATAAAGTCTTACGACAACATCACCGAAGTTAAGCAACGTCAAGCCTGGTCAATACCTAGATGAGTGGCCGCTTGGTGCTGTAAACTTGGACACCTATAAACTTTACACCTATACTTAATTTCGTGCCTTTGTCAGTCAAGCTGACTGGAAAGCCAGAAGCCGGAAGAAAGTTCCCCAAGTGCGAGAGAAGAAACTGTTAGCATAGAACTTACGGTCACATCTAACCACATCATACTGTGAAAATAAAATGTTTTTACGAGTTTCCTAAAAATATCTAATTGCATCTGGATCATTTACTCCCATGAATGGGACAACGACATATAAATTTTTTATATCAAGGACAATTCTAAATGTCAAAATAGAAAACATTTTTTCATGTGACGCGTTTCGCCTTTTAGGACTTCATCGGACTAAAGTGTTGATGTGATTACACATAAGCAAGAAGGTGAGGGGACACTGAAATTTAGAATCTAAATTATATATATATATGTGTGTGTGTGTGTGTGTGTGCGTGCGCGCGTGAATGTGTGTTGTATTATTTACATTATTCGGACTATTGTTCTCATCTTTGACGCCATATTTATTACAACGTTTCGGACGTTGTACGCTCCGGTTTCTTCAGGTGGTTGGAATGTCAAACTGAACCCTTTATTTCGCTCACTGGAGTAGAGAGTTCTCGTTCCACCTGCCATATCTACCAGTTATCTCCTGCTTAATTCCCTCTCCAAGTTCTCATTGAACTCACACTCTTTGGGTCGTGTCACTGGATCTAACTAACGCATTTTTCCACTGTGCCATGTGTCCTTGAAATATAGACAGATACTGATATATGTGCGTGTGTTTTGAGTATATAGCCTAACCAATTTCATTTAGTTTGTTTTTCTCACTTTTGTTATTAAATGTCCCACATTGTGATAATAGAAGATCTGTCCCCCCCCGCACACACACAAAAAAAAGAAATGCAAAATGTTCTAAGAGCCTGCACGGTTATTTACTGTGGTTGATCTAGTGATTAAAGCATTTGCTGTACACTTTCGTTTTAGTAAAATGTTTCTCGTTTAATTAAAGTATCTTCTTTTTTTTTCTTTTTTTAAAAAAAAAACAAAAAACAAAAAAACTCAGACTCATTATAGTAACCAACTATTGAGAGGTCTTTTTACAAAACATCAAAGTAAATATCACTTAAGTCCGATGAACTCCTAAAATGAACTTCTCACTTCCATGAATATTTTTTACTGAATCACGGCCATGTTCTCTTCAACCAGGAGGTCGAAAATATATAATTATTGTATCTCGAGCTTTTATATTCTTTATCAACATTGCTATATTCTTATATTGGATATGCGTTGTGTCCATGCTTTGTTGAAAGCACGAAACATATCTAGTATTGTATAAGGTTTCCTGGCCATTTTTTTTATTTTCCGATTGGAACTAGTCCAATGACGATCAACAGAATTCGTGCCAGGTGGCAGACTTGGCCATGAGAATGGCCTAATATCTTTTTACCTGTCATTTTGAAGAGATTTTGTTCTTTATGGCATAGAATAATGTCCTCAATAACAAAAATGTTTTTGTATGAATAGTCGTTTGTGTGTAGAGAGAAAACGCGGATTATCGAATGAAGACGAAACTCACAACGATTGCAGCGATAATTTCTGTTACTTATTTTCCGTTCAAGACAACAGTTTGTTAACAGTCATTATATTACATTTGTTATCATTGAAATTTACTAGCATTTTATGACTCAATGACATTGAGTGATACAATGATTTTATTTTTATTTTATTTTATTTTTATTTATATTTTTATTTATATTTTTATATATATTTATGTATATATCTCTGTCTGAAAAAAGCAGGATGTGTGTGTGTGTGTGTGTGTGTAACGAATACACGGGCGCAATTTTCGACGGATTTGCACCAAAATTTACATGCACACGCTCTAAGTTAGCGGAAAGGCCAAGACCGAATTTGCATTTCCCAACTCCCATCGATAGTGGAAATAATCGATTTTTTCATGCTTCTACGGCAATTTTCAAGTAGTTTGCGGCCATTTTCTACTGGCCAGAGTGAGAGCCTATAGCTGGCTGACACGAATAGGCAGGAAGATTCTATTGGCCAGCGTGAGAGCCAACAGCTGACTGACACGAATGTTAACTAGCTGCATTCGTCATAAGGAAGGAGGGGTAGCTTCAGACGTTTCTCAGGGGTATTTGCGCATAAGTGAATATAAAGAAGCCAATTGGAAGTCAGCTCTTTGGTTTCCAAATGTCAACCGTTAACCATTACACCAACGGCACATCCAAGCTTACAGCATCTGGTATTCCCAAGCAGTCACCCATCGAAGTATTGACCAAGTTCGACGTTGCTTAACTTCGGTGATCGTACGAGGACCGGTGTTTCAACGTGATATGGCCGTAAGGCATACCACTGACACTTCCAAGCTTGATATTCCCGAGCGGTCACACTTTTAGGTACTGCCCAAGCTCGACGTTGCTTAACTTCGGTGATCGTACGAGATCTAAGGTGGTAGAACTATGGTATATAGTTGGTTTAAACATCTGCCATGAAAATATCGATAGAGAGACTAGCAAGGTTTCGTCTGTGGAAAAAGGGGTTGTCGAGTCGTGTTCGATTTGGTGAATCAAATCCTCCTGGTTGACGCATCGTGGAAGACAAGTGAAGTGATATTGATATCTTCAGATGCAGCGTCTATGCCACCTAAACATGTTTCCAACAAAACACAGAACAAAAGCAGAATAGAAGATAAGCTGAAATTTCAAGGAATATTTACTCCGCACAATAGTAGAGTAATGAATAGCGGCACGGATTTAGGAAACGGAGAGCCGAGTTCGGATTCCACTCGAATCCTTTACATTTTTTTTAAAGCTTTTCACCCCAAGCAAGGCGGAAGTGCCCCTGGCACGCAAGGGGTTACAAAGAGTGGGAGCGAGAGAAAAGAGGCGTGAAAGAAGAAAGGATGAAGAGAAGGACGGGTAATAGATCCAGGCATCTGGAGATGTCAACTGACATTGTATTTGAATAGTTGGAGATTATAGCTCTCAAGGAAGCAAGAGGAAAGGAGTTCCACAGATCGGAAGTGCGAGAGATGAAGCCATTGGAGTAGAAGAGACGGCTACATTTAACCGTTTCGACAGTGAACCCTTGGGAAAGGCATGAATTCCCTTTTTCTCCCCCAGCTATTGGTAAATAGTAGGACAGACCTTGGATGGCAACTAGTCTATCGCAGGAAGAAATGGCAACCTACTGCGGGAAAATAATCTGCCTCGTCAGTCATGTATCGAAAGATACATTATCGTCTAAGCGTGTATCAAGCATGGCACATAACTGACTGACATAACCCATAATTAGGTGGAGAAGAGGTAAATCCATACCTTTCACCCGAGCATTTACCCGTAAGGGAAAGTAACGAACCCGATTAGAATTCAAACGCGGCGTTACGATTTCTCATTCCAAGCCGTCATTCACCCGCACATCCAAACTTACAACATCTGGTACTTCCAATCAGTCACCCATCTAGATATTGACTAGGCTCGACGTTGCTTAACTTCTATGTTTAGACAAAAACTGGTGTTTCAACGTGAGATGGCTGTAAGCACCATCAGCATTGGTCCATTCCCAGGAGTCACCTGGTAGTTTTTGGAATCAAGCCCCATGTTCCAAATGTGCAGATATCGGCATTACTAAGAACTACCAACATTCAGCGAAAAGTGCTCTCTGTTTGAGGTCAAAGAGATTTGATGGAGACCACCAATAACGTAAGGTCCCCAGTATAATGGAAAGTAAGGAATAATAATGATAATAATAATAATAATAATAATAATAGGGGATTTTCAAGTGGCTGAAGATGTGCAAGTAAACCATAATACACCTACTGCAGCGGCAAAGAACTTAAAAAGAAAGTAAAAGCAAATGCAATGTATCAAAATGTAGAAACGATAGTAAAATAAGCCCCCTCATCGTCAATACTATACCCGTATCAAACAAGCTGATGTACACATACCCCGTATCCATCAGTGGTTACGTAGTGCAAGGTTATATATATATATATATATATATATATATATATATATATATATATATATATTACAATGAATCATTCATACAAAAAGTAAATTAGCAAAGTTAATGATATAAAATGGCGAAATCCCTTCGCTAACAAAATTTTAAAGATGCATTAACCTGCTAGTCACTCGACGAATGTTATGATCTTTGTTTTTAAAAATTATAAGCCGTATAAGGTCTTTCTTAAATACGCGAGTACTTTCAACAGTACATTCAGTCATCTTCAGGCATGGAAATTATTTTGGTTTTGGTACAATTCAAGTAGCATATAAAGAGTGTTTCATTAAAACGGATTATACATAAGAGTGTTTCATTAAACAAAGTCAGCAGAAAATAAAACAGTGTTATTGATGAAAATTTATTTATTTCTCTATTGGATCATGCTATTTAAGTCATGGTAATAATAATATCGCCCAAATGTTCGTCAAGTATGAAAGAAAAAAACATTAAGCGCTTAAACTTAATTCACATTAAAATCGGTCCAAGTTATTGGAACACCCTTATATATATATATTATATGTATTATGTATATATTTATATGTATATCATATATATTATTTATATATATTAGAACTCTTATGTATTAAAATAATATTAAGAAGAGCATTAATAATATTATATAAAAAGATTACTTAACTTTAACTGTCATTTTTTTGTCGTTTTCCCCGACTTTGAAGTTTCTTGGTAATGACCATTCTTCAAGGGATTCTCTTTTTTAAATGATATTTCCAGGTTTGTCAATTTATTCCGCGTCTTTTTCAATCCGTTTTTACACGTCAGCTGTCATGAATTTAATGTTCTTTTACACGCGCACGTTCATGATTTTTTGCTTTTGTTTGCGTTTTCGATTGCAGAAGTCGTCATTTTTTCAGTTGTAGATTTTTCTTACAGTTGTAAATTTTTCTTCGAAATTAAATTAAATTTTTTTATGGTTCATATAGAAGTTGTTATGTTATATCATTTATTAAATTGTAATATTTGTTAATTTGTATTATTAATTAAATTATAATATTTTATTTGATTTATTATGTTATATTATTATTAAAGTAACAAAGTAAATATTTATTAATATGCCGGCAGAATGAGATAATGGGTCGATACCCATTATCATTCTGCTTATTTAATAACTTAATTTGATTATTAAATTTAATATTGATAATTTTTCTTCTAAATACAGTCTACAATTCCTATTGATAATATTATATGGGGGTACATTTTTTTATAATTTCCCATTTAACTTTAGTAGGCATATTATTTTCTTTTTGATTCCATATATATTTTAATAATGTGCTTACTTGCGTATTTATCTATTTTAAATGACATCATATAATTATTAAATCATTCTTTAAAAGTGGTTTCGAATGCTCCTGTGTAAATTTTATCTCCTGTCTTAATATTATTCGATACTGTTGGTTTATATATTATATTATTAGTTAAACATTCATTATTAAGTGGACAGATATTTTTATTTCGAAAATTACAATTATTATTGCCATTTTTCAGATGTGTGTTATTATAATTGCTATTGTTTTTATATAATATTTTTATTATGTTTACTTATTATTTTCTCCATGCTCTTCATACAACTACAACTGAATTTTATTGTATTTTTGTTGATGATTTTTGATAGTTTATTATTTCCAGGGAAATGTTTTTCGGTTAATTTAAAGAATATTTTCGTATTTTTGTTTTTATTATATTATTATAAGGAGGGTTAAACCAGATTACATTTCTTTTTCTCTTTGTTTTTCTGTTTATTGTTTGTAAGTATGTATTCTAATATAATCGAATAACCACTTTTTCTTAATTCTGATTCATATATTTTTTTTATTTTCATGAAATATCTTTATATTGCTAGAATTAGTTGCAATTCTGTTGTTAATAGATATTGGTATATGATTAAATATATTTAATGATTAAATATATTATGAGGGTGATTTGAATTTTTGTTTATATATACTGGATTATTATTTGCTTTTCTATAAGGTTTGTATGCATTATTATTTAAACTAATTGTTATGTCTAGAAAATGTACTATTTTTAGGTTAGATTTTAAGTCTATTTTACATCCTTTATATTTGTTTTCTTATATTTTCTATTTTCCTACCATTATAATTTCTTATAATTATTAAACCGTCATCTCTATATAAACCTATATATTCTTTATTAATGATATTTGATAAATTATTTAAGATATATAGGCCTGTGAGTTCGTATATATTGCGCCATCATAACTGGCCATTGTTACGTCAAAGTTATCATTCTTGTGATTACTATTGTGTTTTTATCCATATTTTATTGCTGTAGTATAGTAATGATTTTCTGCAAATATTAATTATGTTTAATTCCTCGTCTTGAATATTTAAGTATTGTTTTGCTAAATTTAATGCTTTGTCTAATATATGCTTATTAATAGATGGACAAGCGTCTTTTATATCTAATTGTATAAAAGAGCAATTGTTTTTATTTGTAATACTGTTAAACCAATTAATATTTTCTTTTGTATTTTTTCATTGGTTTATATTGAGAATTTTTCTTAGTTTCGTACATAAGTTTTCTACTATTTTGGCTTTAGATCGTTCTTAATTTGTCGGCATGAATAAATAATTTATTTGATTTATTTATTGATTTTCTAACAATTATTAATTGTTTTTGGAATTTATTGTTGTTTGTTTTTGCTTCTGTTGTATTTATTATAATATTAAGTCCTTTTCGAAATCTATGACTTCTTTTTGTTGTGGTGGCCATTTCATTGACGAAAATCTAAATTTATTGTTATTATCATTGTTATTGTTATCATTTTAAGGATGTAAAATACTTTCCATTGTAGTCTTTTTATGAAATGTTCTATTTTTCAATAAATGTAATTTTGTAATCATGCACATTTGATATGGGAATATTATTTAATGACTAATCAAACTGTATTGATTCCATTTTTTTAAAATATAATAATAGTAATTGATATTTATATAACTAATAATCTGCAAAAGTACTTGACTTGGAATTTTTTTTTTTTTTTATTCCTAGGGCTTATTGAAGATTTAAGATTTAAGAATGGACATTACCAAGAAACTTCGAAGTCGGAAAAACAACAAAACTTGATATTTAAAGTTAAGTAATCTTTTTTATATATATATATATATATATATATATATATATATATATATATATATATATATATATATATTCAGTCAGTTATGTGCCATGCGTGATACACGCTTAGGTGATCATGTATCTTTCGATACATGATTGACGAGGCAGATTTTTTCCTACAGTAGGTTGCCATTTTTTTTTTTTTTTGCTGTAGTCCAGTTGCCATCCATATTTATACATAGCCGGTGGGAGCGGAGAAGAGGATTCATACTTTTCCAAGGGTATTGGCACGTAATTGAATGTAATGGATTCGAATGGGAATTCGAACACAGCTGTCTGATTCCTCAGTCCGAGCCGCTATCCA